AGACTAGCTGAAACCAACCACTGAAGTTGTACATGTCTATAATTAAATAAAATTAATTCCACATGTACTGTCATAATCACAGAAGAGTTCAGGCCATCTAGTCCAGCCTCCCTGAAATGAGCAGAGACATCTTCAAGTTGCTCAGAGCCCCACCCACTCTGACTCTGGATGTCTCCAGGAATGAGGCATCTACCACCTCTCTGGGCAACCTATTCCACCATCACCATTTAAGAATCATCTTCCTTATATCTACGTTGAATCTACTCACTGTTAGTTTAAACCTTTGCCCCTTGTCCTACCAAATATGAATGTGGATAACGTAGCATATGAGGTTACCAAGATCCAGGACACAGATGTACACCCTGTTACTTACATTTATTTATTAAGTTTATGCAACTTTAGCAAAAACAGGTAGGATGCTTCTAGAATAAAAACGAAACCAGGCTAGTTCCATTCTTGCAACATCGCACTAAAAAGGCAGCTCTAAGATTTCTTGCACAAAGCCTACACAGAGCTTTTTCCCAGCACTGCTCTACCCCATGCCAGTGGCCTTTTCCAGAATAGAGCATGTAGAAAGAGAGTGAAGTTCTTGTTCCTGGAATGAGAACACTGATGCTCCCTTGAAGATGTGAATCTGCTCTATGTTGTTCATCCACAGAGCTACAATGAATATTTGCTTCTTAGCAAAATTATTGAACTAATAAAGTGTAATTGTTCCTTTGCAGCTATTGTGGTCAGTAACAAATCCAGCTTTCATGAATGTGTACTCTATTCTTATGCCAAAATTCTCAAAGAAACAAATAATTGTGACATTTTTCCCTTAATGTGTGTGTTTAATTACTGATAAAAGAAATGGGAGTTATAAATATGAACTAAAGAAAAATTCTGTGTATTCACCTAAATTTCATGAGGTTATTTCCTTCCCCATGAGTTCCTGAAGGCATCAATTTAATTGCTGTTTCTTTCAAATATTCAAAAGAGAGGAGGCAGAATTTTCAACCTGTTCAATTTTAGTACGTTTTTGTTTACTCAAAAATGTTAACTAAAACTTCTGGAGAAAAATAAATAACCCTATGCCTGTAATTTGGATCAGTGTCCACAATCAAGATTGAAAAAGGTGCAGAAAGGCAGAAACCTTCCCCACTCAAACACCAAACTCATAATGAAAAGGCAATGAACCTTATATTTAATTTTTAAGAATATTCAGTCAGAATATTAAAATGCATTATGATTATAAGATGCAGCTAAGAATCCACATCTGCCTTATATCCATAAAATCTTTAAGTGATTTAATAAGTCAACAGGATTTCCAAATTAAACTTACAAATACTTATGTATAATCAACAAAATCAGCGCACGTGTGTGTATGTATATGCTTGAGCATTTTAAAGAGAACAGCTTTTATCTGTGAATAAATTCATTATGAGTTATAGTCTTCCAATAGCTGAGTTTGAAGGAGCAATAATCATGGTTCTGACTCCACTGTAGTAATTTGAAAACCTCCATTTGCTTTTAAAAGTTTCATATCTCTTCCAAGGTACTAAACATAAATAGGTATGGAGCTATAAGTATTCTTAGATAAATAAAAGACCAGTGTAAGTACAGGCATGGAAGTAAGACCCGATGACCTGAGTTTCCATTTCTATCTTCAAAGAATCACCACTTTAGAAAAGATCATTGCATGCATCAAATAAATTCTATAAATTATATTGCACTATCATGAGGCATGATTCTCACATTAGCTGTTTTCTGGTAATGTTTTTCATAGTGCTAAAGAGATATGCTGTAGAAAGCATCTGTTATTTTGCATTTCAGTAATCATTTAAACTGAGAAAAATACATGTGTGTTCCAACAGAAGTAAAAGCCTGACATAAGGCTTGGGATTCATTTGGGGTTTTTGAGTTAAGGAGAGTAGCATGATTTTCTTAATCTTACTGTAGAGATTGAGACTACAAGGGAAAAGGTGTGCTTGGATAGTGTAGACCATGAAAAACACACCTTTGAGAATTGAGCCTGCTGCACAGAACCACATTACACACATAGCATGCATTCTTTGTAATAAAGATCTACATTTCAAAGAAGCAGTTAAAACCTTTCCTTTTGCAGGTTGCAAATCCCTCTAAGAGTTGCACAAACTGACGCCACTTTGACCTCTCTGTGATAGATTGCACGTGGAAGGTTTTTTAAGGAATTTGAGTGCCAACACCTGTTCCAATGAAAAAGAGGCTCACAGTTTCTGGCTCTGGAAATTCAGTTTCATAGAAGAGGGTCTTTGACTTTTGGTCTTGAATTGTCATTTTCCACAATTTGACACTAAATGCAATAATCTAGACGTGTGAAAAAAACCTACTAGAATCTGCACAAAATGCTATTGAGCTACAGAATTCCTAATTAAAAAATTAGAACTATATTTTCATTCTATGCCATAGAATGGAAGCATATTTCTGACTTTCTTTAGATGGATATACCTCTTTGTAACAAATGAAAAAGAGGTATTTATATTGTATCATTAACGGAATCTTACAGCAGTTGCTAAACAACTTGAAAATGAAAATAAAGAAAATTTCTTTTCAATCTCTTATCATTTACCCCTTCCTTTTGCCTAGGATATATAGTACAAAACACCATATGTGATTATTTCTGACCTCTGAAAACAAAAGAGCTGTTTTCTACCAATGTATCTAATCTCTGTAACCAGTTCAATCTAAAAAATTTTCTCTCACTTACCTCAGTGTCATGTAATTTTTGAAAGACTAGAAAAAATAGGCAATTAATTAATTTCATTTACAATTTAGAAAGTACTTAATAAGTAGTCTTTTTTTGTTTGTTTGTTTTCAAAAAATTGTTGCTTTCGGCAGAAGTGACCGTAGAATTATGCGTTTGGTGGGGTTCATACTTTAGGCAAACCCTAGCAGTATACACGTTCTGGCCATCCTACTTGAGTTAACAATAGCAACTACATCATTTCAAGTACGAGCATTCTTGCTCCTGGCTCCCAAGAAAAGGGGACACAAAACCTCAGTAAATCCCACTGGCAGAAAGAAAAACTCTAGGGACTCCTGAAGCAATGCTCGGCCAGACCTTTGAAAGCCCCACCATGAGTTTCCTCCACAGCTCTTGGGGTGCTTCCAAAGGCAAGAATTCCCTCTGGCCTTCAGTGTTTGCTGCTGTGGACACAGAGACATGGAGAGCAGAGCCCTCCTGAGCCTGGGGCAGGCAGGTCCTGCACAGAGAGCACAAGCTGCTTGTGGTACCAACGAGGGTCCGGCACTGGAGGATCCTCACGCACGGGCCGGACCAAGGAGCAGCGCCTGCAGCAGCTCAGGGCACAGGGCACAGGAAGGTGCAGGCCATAATTTTACATGTGACTCATCATTCAGGTGAAATAATGCCAAGAAATATGACCATGACTAAAAAGGTAGCAAGAAAATATTGATGCTTCGAATCCTGTGTTCTCACAGGATTCTAAAAGCTTCAGCATCAGAGAGTAATAGCAGACAGGACAGAGAATAGAGAAATGATTTCCTGCCCTTGCTGATTTGAGAGTGTAGAACAAACTCAGATGCTGCTTACTCTTACATTTTGGTTTCCTAATCTTGAATTTCAATATTAAATCTGAAAGTAATACTGATTCAGGGAGGCATTCCAAGGATCACCTGACAATATACTCTGAGCAAAGCTAATAACTGGAACAGAGTGGGAAAGTTTTAAGTGCTAATAGGAGAAAGACAAACAGTAAGATACTGAAAGCAGCAGCATTTAACCAATCTCAGACAGAAAGCACTTATCTTTAATGAACAAATAGCAGGGAGAAAAGGCAGGGGCACGCACTAGTCATAACAATTACATTGGGAGTCTCTCTGTCACCAGCTGTCACAAAGACCAAAGAGGAACAGAGTAGATTTATTGCTAGGCTCGTGTAGAGGCTAATCACTAATTCTTGCTGATAGTTTGAAATGTTTTGGATGGTTGATTTTGTCCTATTATCAGACAGAAGCCATCAGCCATTGCAGAGAAAACAAACACTTCGTGGCAGATACAATATTACTGATCAATTACCAGGCAGCACAAGGACCTGGCTCAGCTGCTCATCATTTCAGTTACTCACCAGCAGATGGGACTTAGAGCATATTAGTGTTTCAATTAGTCATCATCCTTATGCACTTCATTAGAAAAACCCAATAAACTAACTAAAAACATCCAAGAAAACTCGTAATATTTTTTTTTTGACAAATACATTCCAATTCTGAGAGTCAGGTCTGAGTGTCTAAAGGAATGACAAACTGATTCAATAGCTCTTCACTACTTGAATTTGAGCTGGCTTTTGCCATGGCCCTTGTTTTGTCCCTTCATCAATTTCTGTTATATATGAAATCAGATTCGTGCAGTGAGTAGCTATTGAATCAGTTTGTCTTTCACTTAGACACCTGTGAAAGTAACCAATTAACTGATCTTCAACACTCAAAAATCCAAAAAACCTTACCAACAAACAAAAGAACAAACAAAAAACCAAACCAAACAAGGAAAAACAAAACAGACAAAAAAACCAAATCAACCTACCAAAAAAAAAAAAATCATCTTAGTCATACAAGCAGCAGCACAGACCCCCCAGCCCCCTGGAGCCTTCATGCTTGAGCCCCAGCTAAGGATGTGCAAGCAGCTCTGCTCTTTGCCTTTTCATTTCTACAGAGAAAAGAGCTTCAACAAGTTGCTATTTCAAGAGTTGCCAGAGGCAAGAACAATGGTGCAAAATGTTCATAACTACATGTTGCACATGAGGCACCAAGCAGGAATAAGTTTATTAGTGTTGTCAATCTACGTTGATAGGTACTGGGAAGTCTACAATGGAAGGCTTTGTTTCTTCACTTTTTATGAGGCACCTGATTGTCATGGCTATTTTTACTCTCAGTACCTTACAGTTTGATGTTGAATACAATCGAGTTCCCAGCCTCCATATAAGCCCATGTGCATACAATCCCATACTCCCACTATGCATTAGTGACTATTCAGTTTCAGATTACTGCCAATTAAAACACAGAAGAAGAGGTCCAGGGAGGAGAGCACATTGCACCAAGGTAGGATATGTATTATTCTATTTAAAATTACTATAGATGTACTTGAGACAAGGAAAGCTGTGAGGTTTACATTTTAGGAGAAGGAATCAATTACCTTGCTGCTCAAGGAAAAGAAGGATTTAAAAGAACTCATGTGGCACAGCTGAAGACATCATCTTTCACTACAGCCAGCGTCAGATAATAGGCAGAGCAAGAAAGAAAACCAGCAGGAGAAAGGGACTGGAAGGAGGAATAAGAAAGTATTTTAGCTCCTGGACAACTATTTATTACTAGGGACCATAAATTAAAAAAAAAAGAAAAAAATACTCAACAATATTTGTCTATACAGATACTGGTTTTTTAACCAAAATCTGAAATTTCTATGTAAATTATTTGCAAAATAATTCCAGCATGGAAAACCTCTATTGTGCACACTCTTGGTTTAGTAACACAAGGTCTTTATTTTTGCTCAATTTAACCTCAAGCCCTGCAACCACTTTGTATTTTTTAGTAAGAATAGATGCTCTGCTTCTCTGAATGGACTCCATAGTTCTATCCACAGGTTTGTTTCCCATGCAGGGAAATGCAAGATGTTTTTTCACTAATTTCCTGCTGTATTTTTATAACATTACCAAAAAGTCACACAGTTAGGTCTTAACCCCTATTGATACCCTTTTTCTCTTTTCACTAGAGTAGTAAAAAATAATAAAAAGCAGGCAGATAATAGCTATTTTATTGAATTTTGAACATAATTTAGCTGAATTTCAGGTTTTGTTTCTAGGAACTCTAGGAAAATTATAAGGGTTTCAAGAATGCAAAGCATACACTGTCAGAACACAACAGAAGAGGAGTGAATTGCTTAAAATCCATACACAGCCAATTAACTTATATGGCACACAAATGATTACAGATGTTTCAAAAATGTAACCTTTTCCCTGTTGATGTTCAGAATTCACACTGACAAAATTCCCACCTCAAGTTTCAGCTGCTTTGAAAAGGCTCCTCAAATGGTGTGCACAGATATAACATGCATATGCTCGCATTAGTTAATTAAGCAATGTTGTGAGAGTAACCAGGTCATCGATGTCTCAGGAGTGCGAATGCTTCCCAGCACAGGCTTCAGCCAGAACTGCTGTGTTTTCATTCCCCAGGAAAGTACAGCAACAGTAATCCTGCCTCATCATCCCAATATTTAACAGCTGCAAATTCTAAGTCCTTATCTTTCATTTATCAGTGTCTTGTTGTTTTGTGGTGGGATTTTTAATGCCTCCTCAACAGCCACTGCAGAATTGCACAGCATAGACGGATTTAGGCACAAAGGTCATCTGGGCCAACTTCCAGATTAAAACAGGAATAATCAAACCTTCTAGGACTGTCATTCCAGAGGCCAAAGAGTGGTTGTCTCACAGAAGGCTCCCCACTTCTCTGCAAAGCAGCATCTCAGTGCGGGGCACATTTTCTCCATGCCTTGAAAACCACTACAGGGTTGCATTAAGTGATGCTAATGGGAAGTCCCACATCTAATGTGGAGGCGTGGGAGGGAAGATGGAGGAGAAATAAAGCAGAATCCCATTCTGTTTCATCCTGATCCAGTGAACAGAGAGGAAGAAGAGAGAAGCCACATAAAGGAGCAAGAGGGAACACAGAAACCAAAAGCCTGTGTGAGGAAACCAATTCCAGCTCCCCAAATCTAGTGTCATCCAGAGTGCAAATATCCTTTAACACAACACTGCTTGGCCTCCCCTCTTCTCTGCCAGGTCTCAGAGCTGCTTTACAAGTGGTGCTGCTGGGGGTGCAGCATGGACACCCCCCAAGTGCCAAATGGCAGAGACCTGTCAGCAGCAAACTCCGTGGGGCCGGGACAGAGCGTGCTGCCCTGGGAAGCTGCCTGCTGGAGGTAAGGCAGCTATGGAGCAATGCCAACAACAGAGACACACTCACCACAAAGGCCCCTCCTCCCATCTGCACTTTTGTCCTCTTGAGTGATTTTCATCTCTTTTTTACTGCACAGATAATAGCAATATTTGACCCAATAATCTATAACTGTTTATCAGAGTCCTTACAAAGACAAAAAATAATTAAATTATGTTCCCCATTTATCACAATGCTCTTGATGTTGGTCCCTCTTTATATTCATTTAAAAAACTAAGCATTGTCTGGTGTAATAGAAATGAGATTCATAGTATTACTTGCAATGAATAGTTTGAGCTGGAAAGAACCTCTCACTTCAGCAATAAATTATATCCAAGAGTAATTTTCTTGCCTCACGTTACAACACTGCCCCCTAAATACAACATTTTCTCTTAAATAAGAGAAATAGTTGAAAGAGAGTATTTCCGCAAGATCATTTCCTCCTGCTTTGAGAAACAGCTTTCCAGTGACATTTGACATTTTATGAATGTTTCAGTATTTTACTGTTCATAAGTGATCCATTATTTTATACAAAAGCTGTACTGAGCAGGCACCACCTTTTGAATGTCCCATATAACCATTGATAAAAGGTCCTTAAAATTCTCCTTTTGTGCAGTGCACATTTGATCATGGTAGTTTCTCAAATGCTGAATTCCTAATATGAAGTCAGGTTTGTCTCCCCCTCATTCTCCAGGCAATCTGAACTATAAATGATTTTCATTAGCAGCTGTCAAGTCTTAATAGAGAAGAAAAATCATAAAAAAAAAAAAAAACCAAGAGAAAACACTTAAAGAGACCTTGTGAATGAGAAAGACCATGATTTATTTTTGATAACAGGATGATTTTGTCTCTAATATGTGGTTGCTTTTAGCCCCTATGGTGATCTCAAGGGTGCTATTTGGATTCTCAATTAAGCTAGTGTAACAAAGAAAGGCAAAGAAATATCCTTGCAATAATAAAAAGACAATGACGGTCCAAGCCAACATTAAGCCTAGTCAGCCTTTTAAAATAGTAATATTTTCAGACCTGTCAAAGTAAGTGCTTTGTTATAAATAGAACTTAGATATAATTTTAAAAAAGGAAAAGAAAAACAGCCACAGAGCACTTAAATATTCTTTCATTTGTTTCTTCAGATCATTCTATTAGAGGCACCATTTCTAATGCACTTAAACTGAGTATATGCTGTGCAAATCCTGGCATAATCTCAGTGGCTCGAACAAGCAGACCCAGCCCAGTGTCCCTTCCCCAGGCAACAAGTTACTTCCAGTTAAGCTTACATGGCACTCCAGCAAGGGATCCCAAGCAGCACTAACACCAGTGTGATGGAAACCAAGGGTTTTGGAGCTCCACAGATTGCCTGGCTGGTTATGTCCTTTTTTGACCCACAGTCTTAGAGGAAAAGTCCTCTCCTGCTAGCAGAGAAGGTTGTGAAAATCACCCTTTTTAAAAATACTTGTGTTGATCTTATTTGTATTTACAGAAAGTATCAGATATGGACTTCCCCTTGGGAATTTACCAGCAAAAAAAATCCTGAAGGCACACGTTGATCAAGGGAATGAATTCAGTGTGTGCTCTGCTTTCTTAGATAATAACAATGTCACGACATTTTGCTTTCTAGAGAAGTAATAATCTCTCTCTTCCCTAATTGACTGAGCCAAAACCAGCATAATGCAAATTATTTCAGCGAAAACTTTCAGTATATTCTCTTTAAATGCAATGAGATTGCAAAGCCTAGCCCATGCTTCTTTTTATCTGTAAAATGTACAACTGAGTCACTTCTAATTTCATGCAGCAATGACAGTGCTACACATGTATCCATTCAAAGGAAATTATTTTCTATAAATTTCAATCTTTTGATGCTTTTGTTGTGTTGTCAGGAGACCTAATAAGACTGGCTAGCTGGCAAAGCATTTGCCTGCTAGCCAATTAATGTGCTATTGCCTGTTAGACCCTCTTTATTCTGTTTTTATCTCTAGTCCTGAACCTCTGTTGAATGTCCATGTATTTCTAAATATTTCTTGTAGGACCTTCCATGGATGACTTTGCAGAACCTGCTCCCTTTCCATCATTTTGGCAGGTATGCCCTGAACATTTCTGTGCCTGTCACTGCTTTTCACCACTGTATCACCTACTGTGTTCTTCAGGATCCTTTTCAGCAGTTTTGAACCAGACTCTTCTTTCAATTAATGTACAAAATAGGACTCCTGAACCCATGAGTAATCCTCAAGGACTCTGCACATGAAGGTTTGGTTTCAGGACTTGTCTGACTCATGTTTTTCCTTCTTTCTTCCTTGTGTAAATCTGTATATTTGTCTTTGCCTCTGCTATTCATTTCTACAATTCTTTTAAGCAAATAACAGTTCTCTAGTACTGTTTTCTACAGATTTTAGCAGCCACTAGCATCTGCCTCTGTGTTTGAATTGTATAGAGCATTTCAGATTAAGCTGGGATGAGAACAGCTACAGAAAGTAAAGCATATTGGAAAGACTTGTGTTGGTTTTATACTGTGCTGAACTTCTTCCCTAGTACAGCTCAAGATAAAAGAGGCAAATCCAGACAAAAGCTCATTAAATTGTGTCAGGCTACTTCTTAGACACTGTCTTACATTGTATGGACATAAAGTCCATTTCTTTCACTGCTTTTTATATTTTCTACTTTTGTCTCCTGCTGTGAAAAGGAGTTCCTATTCCATGTGAAGACTTAGCGGAAGGACATTCAGAGTGATAATGAGGCCAGCAAATCTGTGTTAAAGTAACTTGAGAAAACCATGTTGTTGTAGCGAGACTGGGTTTTCAATTAAATGTGATTAAGAAAATAACTACTATCTTACAAATGAAATTTAGCATTGGAATCTCTCAGATTTTAGAGAAATATCATAGGTAAAGAAGGATACAGAATGCCTTTTTTGTTGTTGTTGCTGTTGCTATCATGGAACCACTCTTCTCAAAAAATTCTGGTTTTTATTTTTTGTATGTTTTTTTCAACAAATTTAAGACAGACAAGACAAGGAACGTCAGATCAGGCTCCAAACATTAAAGTGCAAGAAAATATAATTTTCAAGATCAGTTTAATTAGACCAGCTGACATTGCACCAAGACTCATATGGAAAATAGAATTTTATCATCCAGAGCTCCAGAAGAGTAGACCAGTTTTCTGGCTAACCTACCTTTTCACCTAAGCAAACCAATAATATGAGCAATTAGGATTTCACATACCTGTAAAAATAACAAATATCACACTTAGGTAAAATAAAAGTAGAAAAAATAATCTGAAGCTTCACCAACACAGGCTTTTAATGCTGAAAGTAACCAGCATTTCCAAGCTATTGAGGAGCTCACTGCCACCCCTCCACCCCTCACACTTTTGGTGCCACACAGGGTTCTCACACACACATAACATGTGATCTGACAATCACAACAGGCAGCAAAAGGACACAGCCACACTTGAGTTTAGTCAAAATTATATTAAAAAAAAATTTTACCTATTAAAAAAACCACAAAAATCATAATCCTTGTGTGGTCTTAAAGTTATTGCAGTTACTGGTTTATAGATTATTTACTGGCTAGCAGTTTCTCATTTCAATTAGATTTATAAAATTCAAATCATATCCGCATACATCTTACTAACCTATAGATTAGTGGTTATTAAATAAGATCTTATTTATTAAATAAGATCTGAAGTTATTTAATAAGGTCTTGAAAAAGTGCTTGTAATTAAAACATAAGTTGAATCTTAACTCAAGCTTTGGAAATTTAGTTGAAGTTAAACAGTAATGAACCTGTATTTTTACAAGGTTTTTCACTTTCAACCTATAGTTTGCCACATTGGCTTAAATTCCTTTCCAAAGCTGTACAAAAGCTGAGCTGTTAATAGTTTATTGATGTGTAAACTGTATTATTAAAGTATGCATTTGTGTTTTGTCTTCACCTAGGAAGTCTGTTTTATAGATTTCAACTTTTTTTATTTGCATGTTGATTTATATGCATCAGTCATAAAAATAAATTATATAATTCATATAAATAACCTGAATACTATTTTAAGAATGACAAGTATTCTCTATCACCCAAAATGTAGGATTGGGAAGTTGTGTTTCAGATCACTACCTTCCACACATAATAGGCAGCAGTTCTGATTACAAAAAATTTATAGTACATTAGAACAGTAAAAAAAGGATGAGGAAAGTGCCTTTACTAGCTTTCCCATGTTACAGATTCAAACCTGAGAAAATTACAGCCTCAGGGGTACAGAGGGCCACCATTCTAGGGACAAAATTATGACCCCGTGAAGTGTGTCCAGCCAGCAGGAAAACTCATTACTCACTTCTGAAAACAGAAGAATTTGTCTCAAAGTCACCCTGAGAGTCAATAATGCAGCCAGGTAGCAATCCATGTTTCTCTCACCCCAGTCCAGCCTGCAGAGTAAAATTATCTTCCCAGTTAAATACAATATTGAACCCCAGTCCCATTTGCTGTACTTTTTCCTGACTAAGGGTGTTTTTACTTTACTGCAACCATTGTAGGTGCAGCCAAGAGCAGTGGTACTTCCAAAGACCTGCATTGTAAAATATTCACCAGGTATGTTACTGCTGTTCATTGCCTTGCTAGGGCTGAAGAATCCAGAATGGGTAAATTCCACTGTTTGCTCAACATTTTGTTGGGACACAGGGCCTACAATTCTTTGAGTCCATTAAATGAGCCTGAGATTGTTCTCTGGCACCGAGGCAAACAGGCGTGGAATGTCTCACATTCACATTGCTGAGTTCTTGTTTCAGGGTGGTCACAGGCACAATCTCTTGCAGGGATTATCCCTGGCTCATCCTCTTGCCCAAACCACACCTGGGAATAAGGAAGGCAGCATTAGTTTGCCAAGTCAAAATCATGTTCAGGTCCTTCCCCATTAACAGAGACCTGCCCTGGCCTCCTGCAGGCCCCTTCTTCAGGGGTGAATTTCTGTCCAAGCTAAAGAAAGATTATTTCCCTTGATCTCAAATTTCTGAAAACACTAATGGATCAAATAGCATCTGCAGCAGTGTAATAACTTGATTCCTTCTCAGTCACTACAAAATCAGGCTTTATGTCCACAATCTTTTCACAGTTTTCTGAGAAACAACCAGATCTATAATTTTTGGTGCTTCCAAATTTAAGGAAAGAAAAGAATTCTTCTGCAACATGGCCATTAATAGTGAAAAAATACTTGCCAAAATGCTTAGTTTCTCAAATCACAGGGACCCAAATTAAATCATCATAGAAAGGTAAAAATCCTTTCATTTCAGAGGGGGAGGAAAGTTTTGATCTCGCTGGCACCTTCCATGTCCTTTCTATTACTCTGCATTTCCACTGCTGCTGGAAATACTGGGGTGGTAGGGGAAAGAAAAAATATAGAGAGAGCAAGACCATTTTCCTCAGTCTGATAAGAACAAAGAACTGACATCCACGTGGAAGAAGCTGCTTTTTATAGCAAACACACCTAGAAGTTAATTGTTTTCCATTTAACACAGGGGAAGCGGCTGGAGGCGCCGCCGAAACACACAGTGCCATCTAATGGAGGCTCCCTCGTGTAACCCGAGCATCCAAACAGGGAAAACCAAAAGCCCACACCGGATCTGTGTCAAGCCACAAGCACACCAGGAATTTTTCAACCAAGAGACGATTCTTGACAAAAACGTCATCTCTAAGTTTAGCATTTTTAAATAATCGGGCTGCATAGCTGGGTAATTGCAGCAAAACCCTGTGGCTGAGGCTGCATTCTCCTCTTCCAGGGTGCGCTCCAGCAGGGTACCAAAGGAAAAAACACCAACACAAGCTGGTGGTATTCCAAAAGGGACATGTGCCAGCCACCTACAGAAGGGTGGAGGAAAAATAAATAAGTTTCAGTGTTGCTCTCCTCTCCCCCAAAATCAGCCCTCCCATGAGACAGTAATAGCACACAGCACCCTGCCACAGGTTGCTTCTGCTCAGGGCACTTGCAAGATCCACCATGGACTGTAACTCTACATCAGGAAAAAAAAGTGGTTTCTTCTATACATGCAAGATGTGGGAACGAAACGCTAATGAAAAGTCCTTATATGGCTTTTCAGACCCAAACCATGCCATAGCTGGGAGGAGATTGGCAGGGGGTGTTAAATTAAACAGTTATTTTTAAATGCTGCTGGTTAAAAAATAAAGAGAGGTTAAAAAAAAAAGGAAAAAGAAAGAATGCCTGCATTTTTAATAGATAGCACAAATTACAATGGTACTTGTATTACAAAACCTTCAAGCCTTAGAAAAATATCTTAGGAAGGCAATACAAATTGAAGTTCATTATACAAATAAAAAGAATGCTGAACATTTGTATGACAGACACAGAAAAAAACATAGAAAAACTTTTCTCAGTGGAATATTCATTTAAAATACCCCTATATTAGAGTGATACCAGGAGACTAATTCTGAGACAATTTCAATCCTTAATCCTCTAATTAGTGTTTGAAACTTCAAAGTATAACTGCATAGAGTAAAATACTTTGACATTTTAAAAGTGCATAGTACCCTCATGGCAATTAGCAGAATTTTTTGTAAATTCATATGGCAAGATATACAATGATATCAGCATATATGACTAATTTGTAACTCACATCTGGGCTGCCACATCCTTCTAGAAATTATAAGGAAGCCCTTTATTTCAAAGACAATCTTAGAGTCCAGTGATAGTATATTTATATGCCACATTTTATTCAAGGCTAATTAAATTCATATTTACTTTCAATATTAAGCTTAAAGCACCACAATTATACATTTTGTGTGCATATGTGTGCAAAACTTTGTCTCACTTTAGTGGTCACACATCTCTTGTTTATAAAACACTGAAAGTACAAACCTAAATGTTTCACTCCTGTTTTTCTTTTCCTTTACATATATGAGGAAACTAGAATATTGTAGAAAGAATTAGAAGCAAGTTTCATGTAAAAAAAAATATTTCACAAAAATATAATAGATAAGGATCACTGAATCATTTGGTTGGCTAAAAATATTCTATGGATTTTATAAATATTTGAGGCCTAAAAATGGCAAGGCAGTTTGAAATAAACTAAAACCAAATGTA